CCCCCCCATAAAAGTTCATGGAAATTCCCATTACCTTTTCATTCTGTTTCTGAAGCTTTCTCCCTTATCTGTCGCTATCAATGTAGGGACACACCATTCAAGCATTTTCAAAAGAGCGGGTTGGGGTGGGAGCCTCGAGTCCCTGTTGCTAGTGCTGGAATCAGCAAGCGGGAGCCAGGAGGTGGTGGGGCGAGCAGAGGGAGGCGGCCAGCCTTGGTTTTGTCAACCTGAGAAGGGACGTGAGCACCAAGCCTCTATTTACTCAGGACTTTGTGGACCGAAATGTTGGGAAAGGGAAACAGCTGGCCAGGGTGTTAAAATTGCTCCGCAGGCGGGATTGCCCCCACCCCCCACCCCAAGAAACAGCCAAACTGCAACAAACCGCCCCAAGTGGGCTGCCCAGGGGTGTGTGTGTGTGTGTCTTTCTCTTGGTTTTCTGTGTTTATATGGGAAGTGTGTGATGGAATATGTGTGATACAGAGGAGTTTTTCAGCCCTAATTTCGGAGGAGTGCAGTTATCCTGAGCGAGCATTGGTGTTTTGGCCAAACCTGAGCCCCTCACTGTCTTCCTGTCTTTCGTAACTGACCAGCTTGCGCTGAATAGCTGAGGGAGTTTCTCGGAGGGGTGGGGGGAGCACCGGAGAAATTGTTAACAAATGCAAAAGGACAAAAGTGTCTTTGTGGACCCTGTCAGGGTATAAATCACACCCTCTCCCAAGTAGTGTGACACTTGGCCTTGGTGTGAAGGGTTTGATGGCTTCAGGGCAGTCCCTGGCTGAGGGGTCTTTCACATTCAAATAGAGAGAGGGCTCAGCTTTGTTCCCCATTCACAGCTGGAAGCTTCCCTGGAGTGGCCTGGTGGTGCCCGCTGGGACAGATCAGGGAAACTCTGGGGATCCACGCTCTCCAGCTATGAGGAGAATGCAGGCAGCCCGTGCAGGCACTCAGACACTTCAATTACAGGGCACTTGGAGTGACTCTTCCTCCCCACGCCACATTGGAAGGTATCAAAATATTCCCCAGCTGGCATTGTTAGTCAGCTGCTGCTCAGGGCCGAGGCAAGCCTGGATTCCGACCCCAGCCTTGAAGGTTCCAGGAGATCGGACACATTCCTGTCCACAATCCCTGGGATTCCTAACCAGGCCTTTGTGCTCCAGCACTGAACTCGACTGGGTGTCACCGGTTTGGGCTGAGACGGGCTCACTCTTGCCATGTTCTCTCTCCCTTGCCTCTCATTTGACTCGTCTGCCTAGTAGGGCTGCTCGGTAGGGCAGGCAGGGGTGGTGAGAAGCCAGGAGCCAGATTTCACCAGAACCAGGGTTGGGGCACAGCCCTGCCTAGACACTGATGCACAGCAAAGAGAGAAGCAATGGTCAAGGAACACTTCCCAGAGGAGGAGGAGGTGCTTGACTTGAGACATGAAGGACAAGTTGGCATGTTCCAAAGTCTGGGCTGGTGGCAAAGGAAGCACGGATGGCTCTCCTTCCTCCTTCCCCGTGTCGCCATCCGTGACCTGCACTATGACTCCTGGGTGCCAGCCAGGGTACTAGGTGGAGGGAGCGTGTCCTTTCCTGTGGTTTGTGGTTACAGTCAGCTAAAGTGAAGTGCCACTTGGTGGCCAGTCTGAGATCAGGCTGTGCACGAGAGAGGTGGGTGGGGAGATTGTGTTAGGTAGCCAGAATAGGGACTGGGGATTGACCCTCCCATGCCTGCGAAGGCCCCCTAGAGGAGGATGGAAGGAAATCAGGCGACCCTTACTTACCTAGGAAAGCCCTAACTGAGCATGCTCCCATTCCGAGCCAGGTAGGAGGTACACCTGGGCAGTCCTAACTAGACCCAGGCTCATGACATCATCCAGGTGGTCAACATAGCTAATGTGATCAACCCATACCATCAACCAAACCTCCCCAGCCTGAGGTTGGAAATAGCCTGCTGCAGGAAGGCCAGCCTTTTTCACCTGCTTCTTCCTGCTCAGTGGCAGGTTGGAGGGAAGGTCTCCCTACCCCTTGAGGGTGCACATGAGCCTGCCAGTCCTACTGGGGGCCTACAGCCTCTCTTCCCCCAGCACAGCAGTTCTTAACCTGTGGGTTGTGACACCTTTGGGGGGTCACCCAAGTCATTAAAGTGATGAAGTAGCAACGAAAATAATTTAATGGTTGGGTGGGGGGGTCACCACCACGTGAGGCACTGTCTTAAAGGGTCGCAGCAGTAGGAAGGTCGAGAGCCACTTCCTCAGCACTCTGGTCCTTGCTCTTGCTGCAGCCTTCCCTAGTTCCGCACATGTGGGTGCGCTGTTTCACGCGGTTGCTCATGTCCAGTGGGAACCCCAGCGTGGCTTCCCTGAAATAGCGTGAACCCTTTTTGAGACAGTAAGACCTGAAACTTCTCCTGTCCTTCATAAAAACCCACTTGGATTACAAAATGGGCTTCGGCGTTAATTCTTTCTTGGGCGAAGCCAAGAACTGAGGTATTACCAACTCCAGAAGCCTAAAAATTGAACAGGCGCTAGTCACAAGCCCAGCCCCCAGCCTCACATCCCACAGGCTGAGTGCCCTCCGTTTTCTAGGTCCATTTGAAATTGCCTAAAGCTGGTGGAGTGCACCTGTGTTAAGTTGAGGTCATCCTCAAATTCATAGTCCGGCAGCCGATTTTAGCTCACAGCAAGCTGATGGGACAGAATAGAACTGCCCACAGCTTCCAAGGCTGTCATCTTTACAGAAGATGACTGCCTCATCTTTCTCCCATGGAGTAGCTGGTGGACTTGAACCCTGGGCCATTCCATTAAAGGCCGAGGCCTTCAACCCCTGCACAGTTGGGACTTAAATCCCCAGCTTTATCAGTGGGTTCTGATCTACAGAACAGATAGAACTGCCCCATAGGGTTTTTAAGACTAGTCTTTACAAAAGCAGACAGGGTACATCTTTCTCCTGAGCTGCTGCTCGTTGGCAGGCCTCTTTCACCTTGGTTACTGTAGTTGGTGTTTCTGAACGGAAAGTAATCTGTCGTAGGGGCTGGCCATGTGGCCGAGATGCCCGGCAGTGGCTGCTCCCACGTAAGAGTGCTGGGAAAACGGCAGGTGGTAGGGTCTGTAGTGTTGGCTCAGAACCATGCCAAGAAATGCAGCTTTCATTTCACCTGTCCCTCTGCTGGTGTGGATGACTGGTTGTTTAGAGCAGACACTGTTTATACGCTTTCCATGGATTGCTGGTGAACTTCAACTTAAGTTGTGATTCAGTGAAAAAAAAAAAAAGTTGTGATTCAGTGTTTTGATGGCCCTTTCAGAGCAGTTTGTTGGCTACTTTCTCATCTGCCCTCCACCCTTGTTAAAAGAAACACTGCTGGCATCTGATTGGCGTGGCGCCTCCTCTTTCATTCAGCTCCCCAATGATTGGCTTTGAGGTGTGCCTTGCACTTGAGACTGGTTTTCATGTCTCTCAGACTTTGGGTGGGTGGTATGTGTGTGTGTGTTTTGAATCCACAGAAAAAGGTCCCGTGCACCAGTTTCTTCACCTACAATTCAGGGATGTTGATTCCATTTTTCAGGTTGTGCGGCTGTTCTCACCCTCCTTTTCCGAGTGATTCCACCACCATTGACCTGAATTGGGTGCCCATGAACCAGAAACCCCCCGATAACCACTGATAATGTTTGGTTTTTGAAGAGTTGCCTACCTCATCTCTGAGGCTGTACAATTACAGCGTGACGTCATCGAGTTGTGGCGGGCAGGTGGACTTCGTTTCCCTGGAGGCTCGGCAGGCTTCTGTTGTATCTCCCGGTGGATTTTCCATTCCATATGGGCAGGGATGTGTGGCCTATTTTGCTCACTGCCGTGCTCTCGGCCCCGGGCCTGAAAACCAAGCCCAACCAGGTGCTGTCAAGTCCATTCCGACTTAGAGGGAGTGTCCCTGTAGATCAGAGTATGAACCATGGAACATTGCATGTCATATCCAATCCCAGGACTCTTTCCCGTCTTCCCCTCTGCCCCCACCCCCAGCCCAGCTACCACCAGGCTGCAAATATCTTTGTGTGGCTTAAAAAGGCCCCTGAGGGGCCAGCTATAAGCCCACACTTGGGAACG